AGAATGTTTTTAAGGAAGAGAAGGGGTGGTCAGGCATGGAATGCTGCTTAGACATTAAAGTAGGATTAGGGCTAGGTATATCTGTTGATTTTAGAGATATGGGGGTAATTAATGACCCTGATAAGAGCTGTTCCACTGGTTTGACAGAAGCATTTCTAACAAGTTCCCAGGAAATTATATACAAGAATTACCTGGGGATCTTGTTAAAAATGTTGATTCTGATTCAGTATATCTGGATGGAAGTGGAAATTCTCAGCAGGGAACTTGTTAGAAATGCAAATGATCAGCAGGAGTTTGAACCGGAACAGACAAATTAGAAACCCTGAATGGAAGCAGATGTCATATTGGAATGGGTTGGGGAGGGAGTGTAAGAGGTAAGGACATGGAGGCAGGGTCTTTAGACAACTCTCTTAATAACATTGGCTGTAAAAGAAGCTACAGTAGTACCTGGAAGAGGAGATGTGAGGTTGAGATGGTGGAAGGAGGAGATTAAAAAGGAAGGAAGGAAGGAAGGATCCAGTTGAGTATGAGAAGTTGATGAGAACCAAGGAATAATCAAGATAAGGATCTAGAGAGAGGGAATGGCCTCTGATACCCACATAGAAGGGGGCTGCTTTGGGATTGGAGAGAAAAACAGCATGGGAGAAAATGCTGTTCTAATAGGATAAATGCTGTATATTCAGCAGAGCCCTGGTGGCACAGTGGTTAAGAGCTCGGCTGCTAACCAAAAGGTTGGCAGTCCGAATCCACCAGCTGCTGCTTGGAAACCCTGTGGGGCAGTTCTACTCTGTCCTGTAGGGTTGCTGTGAGTCGGAATTGACTTGATGGCAATGGGTTTGGTTTGGTTTTGTATACTCAGTAAATTCACTGTGAACATTAAACCTGAGGGTTGAGCGTTTTACTCCATTTACAAGATGGCATTTGCATTTAATAGTTTTATCATTTTCTACCTCCAACTGCTTGATTGGCCCTGCCAGAAAAAATCTACTTTGTTTTCCTGACCAAAACAATAGATGCTGTAAATAATCTGGTTGTTTGAAATTTATGTTTATGTATGACATCTTTTCCTTCTGTGATTAAGGCACTTCATTTTTATTCCACTGTAGGGAGTTTTGTTGGAGATTGTATTTCCACTTCCCATGATTTTTCTTTTCTTATACTTTATAAATTATGACAGAATTCCACTACAGGGGGAAAACATAGTAGAACTCACTAACCAAATTCACCTAAATAGTAGTCTGGTGTCATGGCTAGAAAAAGCACAACTCCCTTTCCTTCAGAAGACTTTTATTTTATGTCAGAGTAGATTTTTGAAGAAATAATACTTTGCATGTGATACGAATTCAGGCGGTGCAAAAGGACGTAAAATCGAAAGTCTTCCACTCCTATTTCTTCAGTTACCCTCTTTCGTTCCCAAGACAGTGGGTGTTAACTGTTTGCTTACGTACCCTTCCAGAGATTCTGTGCATCTGTGAACAAACTCATATATAAATTTTGTCCTTTATTTGCCCAAATGGTATAATGTACCATAGTTTTTTAAAAATTTTATTATTTAATTGTATTTTTGATGAAAATATTCACAGCAAAACCTGCTCCTGTTCCAGTTTCTAGACATAAAGATGGGGAAATCGGTTACATTCTTTACATTGTGTCAGCATTCTCCTTATTTCTGGTCTAGTTGTTTCATTTCCATTTACTTAGTCTCCCTGCCCACCAACCTACTTGTCTAGGCTTTAAAATAGCTTGTTGACCCTTTGGTCTTATATAGGTTTAAAAAAAAAAAAAATTTAATGCAGTACTCAAGGGTGACAATCTGTATTTTATTCTTTGGGTTAAACTATTACTTAGTGTAAAGATGACTTCAGGGGATAGTTTCAGTTCAGGGTTTGAAGAACAACTCAGGGCCACGGTCTTGGGGACTCCTCTAGCCTCACTAGGTCCAGTTAAGTCTGGATTCTTTAAGAACTTGAAGTTTTGTTCCACGTTTTTCTCCTGTTTATCAGGATTCATCTGTTGTGTTCCTGATCTGAACATTCAGTAGTGGTAGCCAGGCACCGTCTGGTTCTTCTGGTTTCAAGTTAGAGGAGGCAGTGATTCATGTAGACAGTTATTCCTGTAGTCCAGTTCCTTCTCTGATTCTTGGGTTTCCTTCTTTCTCTTTTGTTCCCGATGAATAAAGACCAATAGTTGTATGTTAGATGGCCTCTCATAAGCTTTTAAGACCCCAGACACTACTCTCCATGTTCCGAGGTAGAACATAAACTTTGAAAACTATATTATGCCTGTTGACTGGATTGTCCCATGAGACCACAGACTTAAGCCCTCAAACCAAGAGAACTAATCCCATGAGATGATTGGTTATGTCTAATTAGTATCAGCATGTATACCCCCTGCCCCCTTTTTGGTTGTTGTTATTGTTGCAAAATCGTACACAACCTAGCATTTATAATGTACTGTTTTTTGTCCATTTAATAGTATGTATTGAAAATTATATCATATTATTATGTAAAGCGCTTTCTAATTCTTTATGGGCATATAGTTTTCCATTTTATGGACATACCAGGATGAACTAACTGGTGTCTTACTTATGGTTTATGACAGTCTTTTGTGATTGGTTTGGGCATATTTAAGTAGTTTTGACTGAAATTCTAGTTGCTTAATTTAGGCAACAGAAATTATTGTGACTCTCAACAGTTAAATTTAAGGAACTTGAAATAAAAGATAATTGCTTGATGTGTCATATCGAAAGCCATTGATATTTTCCTGTTTTCTTACAAGGATAAAGTCTAGATTTATTTGTGCTGCATACACAACTTATTTCCTAAAGAAACAAGATTTTTATGGTGATTTTAACAAATTTACTTTTTAGCCTGTTGTTGTATTCTATGCTTTGAAAGCATCCAGTGCTTTCTGCTTTCAGAAATTAATTTGAGACTTCTCAATGCCTGTGCCGTAGGACTGAAATTAATTTCCTTTGAGTATATTTCTTAGATATTTCAACTTTTTAAGAAAAATCTTTATTCCAGAATATGTAACTTGATTCCCTACAGAAGGATCACCTCTCATTTTATTCGTTTGGAAATCTTGGGTTTAGTCTTTATACGTGGGAGTGTTTTATGTCACTACTTAAATACTAATATTTTGTTTTCTGTTTATATTGCCAGCGGGCTTCATTTATGACACTGGCAGTTTGTTGGTTTAACTCTTACTCCCTCTGTTGGCTTTCAGAGGTGTTGCATTAGCTTGGGAATGGCATTAGGAATAACATTATGCTTATTTTCATTTAACTAAAAAAATTAGTAATGATGTAAATGTGCTAATAAAGTAGGCTACACATGGAATCATTTTATAGTTAAGTGTTTTCAGTGACCATCAATGTTCTGCTTTTTATGAGCATGATAAGGAAACTATCAGAATGCCTGTTTTATCAGCAGCTAAAAACAGGCCATGACAGACATATTCAGGTATATAGAATATTTGTGTTCATGAAAATTAAAAAGTAGGCCTGGCATGTTAGAGCAATTAAAAGTTTTTTCAGATAATCTTTTAGTTGGCCATTTATCATAAGTTGAACTATTGTGGTAACATGATGGAGTGAAGTGATAGAGCTGTCTTAGTTCACCTGACTCAGTGTATCATCTAGCTTAATGTTTGTGTCTGTCTGTGGCCTTTGGGGCATCATGATAGCTGCCTTCTTTAACATCACATGTACAGGGCAAAGTATTTTTTTTGCTTTGCTCATTTCTTAGCATCTTCTTAGAGAAACCACCAGCCAGTGAAGCTTGCGCTAAATAGGTAACAACTCTCGTGATTACGGATTATGTCCCATTCCTCCTTGATGAAGTAGAGTTGTGTCTCACACACCCAAGATGGGATGGTGGCAAGGTGGATAGTTTAGGTTCCAAAGTCAGCATATAAGGTGGGAAATGTGTGTAAGGAGTTTTCTCTTGAATCCTTGAAGTCATTCATAGAGTAGCGTATGCTAGATTTTCTGGGTTCATAAAGTAGTTGTGTTTAGTGGCTATTGTTTATGAAAGAAAACATTTTAATTCTAGACTTACATTAAGCATAATGAGAAGTATATGGGAACTAAGAACTGAGGGAACAGTAAATTCAGCCTCCCACCTCATTGCCTCTCTAGAGCAACTCCTATTGAGGGGAATGGCAGACAGATTTGAATGCATATACAGGTGGTCGCTGACTTACGAAGGGATTGTGTTCTGATGACTCTGTTGTAAGTCAGTTCTAACGTAAGTCAAATACCTCATTTTTTTTTTTAGTTTTCATTATTATCAGTATCTTTATAAATTTGATCTCTATTTGTCTTTGGGAGTTGGAAACATTGCATATAAGCTTACAGATAGATATATTTTAATACTGTATTAGTACATATTAACGATAAGATATACATTCCTCCCCCACCAAACAAACAGTTGTTAGTGTGGTTCATTGTAACTCGAATACATCGTAAGTTGGGGACTACCTGTAATTATTTTGCTTGCTTGCTCATTTGCCAAATGCATGTAGTTGAAGTTTTTTTAAATCATAAAAACATCACTGTGACCCCCCCACCCCACCTCCTTTCTTTGAAGATTTCAGGGTAAAAGTAGTCATTCCAGTTAACTAATTGTTTTCTAGGCTAGTTTTTTTTTTTTTTAAAGCATTCTGTTTTTATTCATATTAAAGTCAAAACATGTATTTTAACTATATTAGTGTTTTGAGGATTCCTTTCTTGAACACTTCAAATAAAGTTTTAAAGTTGAAGATCCTTATTTAGTTACTTGCCTTCCAGGTTCAGTTGTTATTATTATGAGTTGCCATCAAGTCAATTCCAACTCATGGTGACCCACGTGTGACAGAGTAGAACTGATCTTTAGGGTTTTCTTGGCTGTAATTTTTACAGAAGCAGATTGCCAGGCCTTTTCAGCAGTACCCCTGGGTGGGTTTGAACTGCCAGCCTTTAGGTTAGCAGTTGAGCGTAAACTATTTGTACCACCTAGCAGTTGGAATCGACTGGATGGCAACAGGATTGATTTTTTTGGTTTTTGGGGACCTTAGTAGGTCAGTGATTCATGTTATGTCATTTTTAGTAGCTATATATGCTAGGATTTTAATGGTAGTAATACTAAGTCTTTTGAATTTGACTGATGATCAAGCAGTTAACAGATACATATATTTTAAAGGCTTGTATAATGGTAGCTTTTGCCAGCCTACTGAGGAAGATAGGCATGTTGTGTTGATTAAATAATCTGCCATTTCTGTTTATTGATTTTGTGTGTTTTTGTACAGGTTGGTTTCCTGTTGCATCTTTAATAGTTTCCTAGACTCTGCTCCATGATTTAACTCACTTCTGAAATGAAGATGGAGGAGGCAGTGGGAAAAGTCGAAGAACTCATTGAGTCTGAAGTCCCACCAAAAACATCTGTACAAGAGACAGCCAAGGAGGAAGATGGATCTGTAGAACTGGAACCTCAAGTTCAGAAAGACGGTGTTGCAGATTCTACAGTTCTTTCTTCAATGCCTTGCTTATTGATGGAACTGAGAAGGGACTCTTCTGAGTCTCAGTTAGCGTCCACAGAGAGTGACAAACCGACAACTGGCCGAGTTTATGAGAGTGACTCCTCTAACCACTGCATGCTTTCCCCTTCCTCTAGTGGTCACCTTGCTGATTCAGATACATTATCTTCTGCAGAAGAGAATGAACCCTCCCAGGCAGAAACAGCAGTAGAAGGAGACCCTTCTGGAGTGTCTGGTGCCACAGTTGGACGCAAGTCCAGGCGGTCCCGATCTGAAAGTGAAACATCCACTATGGCTGCCAAGAAGAACCGGCAATCCAGTGATAAACAGAATGGCCGAGTCGCCAAGGTTAAAGGTCATCGGAGCCAAAAGCACAAGGAAAGAATCAGGCTACTGAGGCAGAAACGAGAGGCTGCTGCACGGAAGAAATACAACCTGCTGCAGGACAGTAGTACCAGTGATAGTGACCTGACTTGTGACTCGAGCACGAGCTCGTCGGATGATGATGAAGAGGTTTCAGGGAGCAGCAAGACAATCACTGCAGAGATACCAGGTAGAGGATGTTTTTTAAACTGACTGTACAGCACCTGATGGCATTTCTCAGCTGTCAGGCTCAGTTAGATGAGTGACACTTGAGAAAATCCAGGAGACCTGCAGCTCTGTGTAAATTTGAAGACTGCAGTCTGCTAACAAGACATGACCAATTTAAAAAACCTATTCTGAGGTTTCCAGTGCACTTTAGCACATCAGCAAAAAATACCTAGATGGTTAATGATAGGGACAGGATTATTTTTAAGTAATGGAATTTCTCACAATTCATTCTCTGTAACACATTACTTAAACTCCCATCATTGCCTTTTTAGCTCTGCTTAGATTTAATACTCAATGTTCTGCGTTATTACTAAGTATGTTCTCAGGAATAGGCACATTCCTTTATTATATAGCCACTGCACTCAAGCTTACGGTGTCAGAAATAACATGTTCTGTCTTTCGTTAAAATTTTCTAATAACTCTGTTCCTCCTACAACAGTACTTTGTGTTTTATTTTTCTAATTCAGTGCATGATAAGCTAGTTATCCTTGTTGCACATTTTTCTATGCTGTGTTGTCACTTGCATTGAAAGGAATGTTTTTGCAAAATTTTACTCTTAATCCACCCCCAAGCTATACAAATTTTGTTAGAAATCTGCTGGTTCCAGCTCTCATTGGTATAACAGTCTGTAGTTTATTAAATGTTAGAAGTATCTGCGTCCACTGTATTACCAGGTCTGGTACTATGTACTACAAAGGCAGTCTTAAGATTTCCTAGTGGAAAGGTGAAGTCTGAACAGTTCTTAAGTGCTGAATTCTTATTATTGAAGAAATTCATAATATGATTGGTAACATTCTGTAAACTGTGGAATTTAATAGCTTGTCAGCATTGTTTATTGCTACATTAAGGAGGGGGAAGTTTTGGTTTTCCAAAGTTTTATGGGTAACTATCTTTTTTCTTCCTAGTTTTCTGAAAGATTTCTGTTTCTACATGTGAAGGCAGCATATTGCTGATATACAAAGAATACTTCGAGAAAAATCATATTGGTTAATTAAACTTATAGATAAAAAAACTTATATAAGCTTAGTAATAAGAATGATTGGTTGTAAAGCACTTTATAGGTGTTCAACTTATAATAAAAGAGTCATCCATATAGTGTATTAAATATGCTTTTTTAATAGTCTTTAGAAATGCTTTTTACTGCTTACTATCTTTTGAATTTCTTTGGTGTAGCTCACCTTTGATATGTCCTTGTATTAAAATTACTAGGAAGAGGATTTAAATGAAGCTCATCAGCTGCATGAGAGAAGCAGACTTTGGGGTTGTTCTTAGGCAGGTTCTAGGTATATTTCAGTTTTACATTTAATAATATTTTAAAGAAAGCCTTATTAACATCTGTAAAATTGTTCATACATTGTTATGTCCTGTTCTAATCTTTTAATCAAGACAGTGATGGATCTCTGATTCAGTGCTTACTTACACTTACTAAGCAGGTGTTTACATAACCATCACAATACGTTTTCTTTTTAAAGAAAGGGAGAAGAAGGTGGGTTAATAAGATTCTCTTTGAAGATGGAACCCTACTGTAGAGGTGGCATGAGATAAGACTTCATGAACGCTCTCCCTGTTTGGGTTACATAGGTTATGTGTGCTTTGTTCATATTTTATTAACCTCTTCACTAACTGAAACCTTGACCATTGTTTAAAACTTGCAAAACACCAATGGTCTGTTTCTTTTCACTTCTGAATTGTACACTAATCAAAACATCAAAGTAAATCATCTGAATCTTCAATTTAGTTTCTGTTGTTCACAATAGAAATTTAGTAAGCTTTTGAAAATATGTAGACTTTCCTAAGGTAATCATGGAGAATCAAATGGTAGGTAAGGTGCAGGGCCACTGTATGTGGTTGCCTAGGCTGTGCACTGCACAGTTTCAGGAGGTGCCATTCACATAAGACAAGATATGAATGGGGTCCTTCCTGGAATTACATAAAGCAGTGACGATGGAACAACCTAGAATTTAAATATTAGTAAGTCCATTTCAGGTCTTAGCCATGCTTTCTTAACTACCAGACCCAGGATCACATGGGTCTTTATTATTGGTCAGTGCAAACAAACTGTCTGTCCGTATTGTTATCTCTGAAAAAAATATGAATTGTGCATTTTTAATTTAAAAATTATGTATACCTCAGTTTGCTGAGTCACATTATAACTTTGGGGAGGGAGACACACTCAAACTTACAGCAATGGCAGTTGTTGAAAAGTTGTATAAATTGTAAAGATAAGATAAATTATGAACGGACTTGAGTGCAACAACATGGACATTAGGGTAGCACTTCAGCAGATGTGCTAACAGAGAATCTCTTGGGTGTCAAATTCTAATCCAGCTGTTTACGCAGGATGGAAACCAAGAGGAAAAGTAAAAACTGAGATTCTTGCTGTGCACTTGCATCAAGGTACAACTTGATTTAGTAATGTAAATTTAGTAATTCAGAAAATGCTTAACTTACAAGTTTTTGTTTGGCAGCAACTTAATAGTTGAAGGAATTAAAGTTTCTCTTATATCAAATAATTTAAACTTAATGCATTTTCCTTTAAAGAGTGCAAATAATTAATGATACAGACTTACAGTGCATGGTCATGCTTGATTGAGTTTGATATCTGGGTGACAGATGTTTATGAAGATAAATATTTTTTCTCTTTAGTTAGCAGTTACGGATAGGCAGCTTAGTATCAGTGCTAGTTATTCTCTCCACTTGAAGTTTTTGAAAATATATTGGTGTTTTAAGAATCTGTTTGGAAGTATCAGCATAATTCTAGCAGTTCTTTCATTTAGGGGACTTAGAGATGAGCAAAAATAGAGAATTCTGTAGTGAATGTTAATGTAAAATATTATGTGGTGGTTATCTTGATTATTGAAGGCTTTTATCAACTGTATGATTTATCTTTAGAAATTATCTTTTTGTGCTATTTCACTGAAGTTTTATGATTAGAGCCTTACTTCTCATGGGGGGCCGGTTTCTCTGTAAAATCGCTTTTGGTTGAGACTAGATCTGTAAACTCTGCTCTTGGAGGGATTTTGCTTTTAGTTACTATGAATAATTGACATCAGACTTAATTAAATAAATTAATTCTCTGAACAGACTAACTTAGGTGTACCAGTGTACCTGGGCAGAGGGGAGAAGTTTTTCCAGTAATTGTTGTTTTTCAGAAATATTCAAAAATATACCTCAGGACAGCTTCATCTTGTCTTGGCTATAATGGCCTGCATTTGTGTGGTTTTAGAAAGCCCACCATTTAAAGGCCTACTCAGGCTGAGGTTTCAAAAGTAATACCTCCCTTGATAGGCAAGGTCAGTTGTCTTGGCTGGTTTGTATTTAGAAGATCTGATTGGTCTGTTTTGGAGAATGTCAGGGAGGCTGTTGAAAACAGCTGTCTAGGATCACCTGAATTCTCAACCCATGTGGTCAGACCAGACCAGCTCAGACCCAGTAATGCTAGGATCTTTCATCGATTACTCACCAGGCATATTTTTGCACTGAAATGCATCCGACAGGTTGTTTCCTTACCTCGCAGTTTTTCTGAGGTAGAGGCTATTATGCTTGATCAGTTAACTCTTGCTTGGAAATTGAAAAATAAAAGAAGCTGTTTTTAAGTAGTAAATCCTTTGTAGAAATTTTGGAAAATAGGAAAATGTGAAGTAGAAGATTAAAATCACCCATAGTCCTGCTTTTTTTTTTACATTTGAATATGTTGCCTTCCATTATATACAACAAAATGTTGTATTACGCATACTGTTTATTTTACCCTTTCCCTCTTAACATCGCATTTTGAACATTTGAACCAAAATGCTCAGTTTTTTCCCACAAATGTATAGATTCTGAATAATTTAGCTAACTACAAAATAGCTTCCCTAATATCGATCCTTTGGGTAGTTTTTAGTTTTTGCTATTATGAGTTAGGGTATGAATGTGTAAGGCTGTTGACACTGACAAAAACTGCATTTTAAAAATATGTTTATTTCATCCAGGAACTTGGAGTGTTCATTGCATTACATTCTTGCCATTGAGTATTTATTTTTTAAAAGAATTTTGGCTGACTTGATGGAAGAATTGTATCTTAGTGTTAATTTGCATTCTTTGATCATTAGTGAAGTTGAAAAATCATGTTTGGCCATTTATATGTTTTCATTTTTTGTAAAAAGTCCCTTCATGTTCTTTGCACATTTTCCTGCTGGCATATTTGTTTTTCCTATTGATTTGTGAGAGTCCTTTACCTTTCTAAAGATTTAATTACTTAGAAATTTTTAATATTAATTTAAGCAGTGGGGACTCATGATAAAACACCCCAAAACCACATAGGGAATCCCATGAAGCACAGTGGTTGACATTTTTGCTAGATTGAGTATGATGGGCTTTCTCAGTGGCTGAAAGTTCCACGTGCCCATTTTAAGCCTTTTGTAATAGGCTGTATTTTGGCTGCTGATTAGACTTGCTAAATACATTGGTAGCAAAGCACTGAGACTTGGAGGGGTCAGTTGAGAACTGCATTTATTTTCAGTTTTATAAATGCAAAGCATGCTAATAGGCATCAAGTTCTAAACAGTGGAATTTAGTTTTTCGAGATTTTACTAGTTATAAACCACGGGACACAATTCTGTATTAACAGGCATAAGTACTTTTTTCTTTTATACCCCATTTAAGTGATTATTTTAAAAGTATGCGTTGTTTAAATATGGTTTTTATATGTTTTATAATGTCTGGATAATGTTACCTTAGATATTCAAGCTGGAGAGTATCCTTTGGCAATCCCTAGTATTAAAGCACCAAGGTAGTATTTTTGCCCCCTTTTTTCTAATTTATTTCCTAAAGTGAGTGCCTATCTTAACTACTTTGTATATGCAAAAGCATAGGCTTTGTTTTTGATGTGTCTTTTTCTCAAAATAGGGTATATCTTAGTGTTAACAAAAAGATGTATGTATATTCAAGGTGCAAATATGACCACTATTTTAAGGCCTCAAA